GTGCAAAGTTCTAGAAGAACATGTGTTACAGATATACTGTTGCGTTGACATTTGGAAAATATAATCTGCCACTGGTAGGGATGACATAATTTAGCAAATTAGCTAGGGGCAGTGAGGGAGAATGATACACTGATGTCTCTGGGTTGGGTGACCCATGGTGCCATTAGTAGAACTAGTAGAAAACAGAAGGAAGAATATGTTAGGGGAGATTATTGACTCTGAGAAGCCCATAGTAGTCAGAAGGCTGGAGCCTAGAAGAGGCATAAGGGAGTCTTATACAGAAAAGTCACAGCTAAAACTGAGACTAGAAGAAATGGCCAAGGATGAGAAAGAAAATCATAACAGATTTTTAGAAAACAAAAATTTCTTTTTTGAGAGTGAGTCTCCTCTGTTACCTAGGTTAGAGTGCAGTGGCACGATCTCAGCTCACTGCAACCTCCGCCTCCTAGATTCAAGCAATTCTTGTGCCTCAGCTTCCTGAGTAGCTAGGATTACAGGCACCTGCCACCATGCCTAATTTTTGTATTTTTAGCAGAGATGCAGTTTTGCCATTTTGGCCAGGTTGGTCTCAAACTCCTGACCTCAAGTGATCCACCCACCTTGGCCTCCTAAAGTGCTGGGATTACAGGCATAAGCCACTGTACCTAGCCTATTTTCTGCTTTTTAAATGGCATTATTTTTCCATACCAGTATTTACTTTTATGTAGCCAAATATATTAATATTTTTCTCCAAGGTCAAAAAAGTATTTTTTCCCCTATATATATATATATATTTTTTTTAGACAGATTCTTTCTCTTTTGCCCAGGCTGGAGTGCAATGGTGCAATCTTGGTTCTTCACTGCAACCACTGCCTCCTGAGTTCAAGTGATTCTCCTGCCTCAGCCTCCCGAGTAGCTGGGATTACAGGCGCCTGCCACCACATCCAGCTAATTTTTGTATTTTTAGTAGAGATGGGGTTTCGCCAGGTTGGCCAGGCTGGTCTCAAACTCCTGACATCAGGTGATCCACCCACCTTGGCCTCCCAAAGTGCTTGGATTACAGGCGTGAGTCACTGCGCCTGGCCCCCCAATATTTTTATCGTTATTTTTATGTGTTTAATGTTTAGGGGTCAGACTTCATTTTTGTCAAATGGGCAGCCAATCGATCCAGCACCTTCCCACTGATTGAAATGTCACCTCTATCGTAAGTTCCTAGAGATACACAGTTCTGTTGCTGGCCTTTTTTCTTTTTTTGGAAACAGGGTCTCTGTCACCCAGGCTGCAGTGCAGTGATACAATCACGGCTCACTTTAACTTCGGCCTCCCAGGTTCAAGTGACCCCCCACTTCAGCCTCCCAAGTAGCTGGGATTACAGGTGCATGGCACCACGCCCCGCACTGGCCTTTCTTTAGCACTGGGCCACAGAAATGCATGTGCATGTGAGTGGCTGAGGGTGGCCACTTGGAGAGTGCCACGTGCGCTGTGTCTCCTCATTTGCTGCCATGCAGAAATTGTGGGCCCACTGTGGCCACATATGCCGAATTCTCAAGAGGTGCTAGACATCCAGATTTTTATATGAACTCTCCAGTGTTTAAAAAGTTGGCAATTAATAAAAAAGAAATTTAACAGGCTGGGCACCATGGCTCATGCCTGTAATCTCAGTATTTTGGGAGGCCAAGGTGGGTGGATCACCTGAGGTCAGGAGTTCAAGACCCGCCTGACCAAAATGACGAAACCCCGTCTCTACTAAAAATACACAAATTAGCCGGGCGTGGTGGCGGGCGCCTGTAATCCCAGCTACTCGGGAGGCTGAGGCAGCAGAATCACTTGAACCCGGGAGATGGAGGTTGTAGTGAGCCGAGATGGCACCACTGCACTCCAGCCTGGGCGACAAGAGTAAAACTCTGTTTAAAAAAAAAAAAAATTAAAAACATTATGTGGACAAAATATATTTGCAAGCTGAGACTAGCTTGTGGCACACTAGTTGGTGACCTCTATTCCAGATGCTGAAATAATGCAGAGGCTGAAATAAAGACTGGGTCCAGGAATCCACCTCTCATTCTTTCCCACTGCCAACATTAAGATGCAAAAGAGGAAGAGTGATGCGGCAGCTCCTGGAAACCTTGGTTATTTGCAGGCATCTCTGGGAAAGCAAGCAGTGTTATGGCTCATGTGTCACCTTTTACCCACGAGTTGATGATGTGGTTCCCGGTATGCCAAGTAACTAGGAGGGAGGAGGTCAGCACTGGGGAGGGGAAGGTAACATCCTCAGTCAAAGTTGGGCCTCCCAGACCTGTTGGGCTGAGTTACAAAGAAAGACAATGGGTTGTATGGGGATGGAAAGTAAGGTGCTGGACAAGAACAGAGCAAGATTTTGGCCCCCCAAAACAAGCTGGGAAGTGATGTCACTTCCTATGTAATAATAATGCGGCTTCCCTGGATCCCTTCCAACTTCACACTGCTGAATCTGAGAAGAAATGGCAGTGAGCAGAACTCTCCCACTCTCACGTGCAGGACAGGGTCTGCTCGCGGCAAAGATGAGTCGCATTGTAGAACTTCACCATTCAGAGAGAAAGCTCCTTCACATGCAGAATCTCGCTTGTCTCTCAGGACAATCCTGTGAGGTAGGCAGCACTGGCGTGTTACTGCCCCTTACAGAAGAGGGAACTGGCATCAGTGACAATCAGAATGGGTCTTAGATGGCTCTGGGATGTGCAGGAAGGACACCTGTATAAATAAAAGACTGGCCGGGCGCGGTGGCTCACGCCTGTAATCCCAGCCCTTTGGGAGGCCGAGGCAGGTGGATCATGAGGTCAGGCGTTCGAGATCAGCCTGGCCAACACAGTGGAACCCCGTGTCTACTAAAAACGCAAAAAATTAGCCGGGCGTGCTGGTGGGTGCCTGTAATCCCAGCTACTCGTGAGGCCGAGGCAGGAGAATCACTTGAACCTGGAAGACGGAGGCTGCAGTGAGCCAAGATCGTGCCACTGCACTCCAGCCCAGGCGACAGTGTGAGACTCCATCTCAAAATAAAAATAAAATAAAATAAAATAAAATAAAAAGAATAAAAGACTGCAGGCCCTTTCTCCTTCCCCGTGCCCATTTTAGTAGAATCATTTATTCATTAAATTCACTGAACACCTTCCATGGGCTGGGCACGCTGTCTTAGGCGTTGGGAACGTAGGAGTACACAGGTCCTGAGCACTGTCCTCCCCTGTGGCTGGGTCAGTCATCCTTACTCTGAACCCTGACCCAGACTGGCCTTGCCCTCCTCCTCTCTAGGTAGAGCAATGATCTCAGGCCAACTCTTGCATTTGGTTCCAGAAACCTCGATTGTTTCCCTATTGGTCACTTCCCGAAACGCACTGAACTGTGCCAGGAATAGGATATGTTTTTAAGTGCTTGAGACACAGACAAGTGGCAGACGCATACCCAAATTCCAGTCATATCTTACTTCTGACCGAATTTTAATATATGTTTCATGCAGTTACACAATTCTCTGTGCATAATGCTCTGAGAAAAGGGATGGCACATACGGTTTCTCCTGAAGTGGGAAACAAAGCCCAGTTGGTAAGGTGGCCAGTCTCTATGGCGTCTTAGATGAACCTCTTTTCTTCTCATTACTTTTCCTTCATCTACTTTTTTTCTGAGATGGAGTTTTGTTTCTGTCGCCCAGGCTGGAGTGCAGTGGCTGGATCTCAGCTCACTGCAAGCTCCACCTCCCGGATTCATGCCATTCTCCTGCCTCAGCCTCCCGAGTAGCTGGGACTACAGGCGCCCACCACCTCGCCCGGCTAGTTTTTTGTATTTTTTAGTAGAGACGGGGTTTCACCGTGTTAGCCAGGATGGTCTCGATCTCCTGACCTCGTGATCCGCCCGTCTCGGCCTCCCAAAGTGCTGGGATTACAGGCTTGAGCCACCGCGCCCGGCCCATATTTTTCTATTGACTATAATGAGTAGAACTGTGTCTCTTACAAAGGTAAGTCCAGCCGTGCACGATGGCTCACGCCTGTAATCCCAGCACTTTGGGAGGCTGAGTCGAGTGGATCACGAGGTCAGGAGTTTGAGACCAGCCTGGCCAATATGGTGAAACCCATCTCTACTAAAAAATACAAAAATTAGCTGGGTTTGTGGGGGTGCGTGCCTGTAGTCCTGGCTACTTGGCGGCTGAGGCAGGAGAATCGCTTGAACCTGGGAGGCGGAGGTCACAGTGAGCCCAGATCATGCCACTGCACTATAGCCTGGGCAACAGCGTGAGACTCTGTCTCCAAAAAAAAAAAATATTAGTCGGGCGTAGCGGTGCGCGCCTGTAGTCCCAGCTACTGAGGAGGCTGAGGCAGAATTGCTTGAACTGGGGAGGTGGAGGCTGCAGTGAGCCCAGATTGTGCCACTGCACTCCAGCCTGGGCAACAGAGTGAGACTCCGCCTCAAAAAAAAGAAAGACAAAAAAAAAATCCTGGCTGGGTGTGGTGGCATGCACCTGTAATCTTAGCACTTTCAGAGGCCAATCCCTTGAGCCCAGGAGTTTGAGACCAGCCTGGGCAATATAAGGAGACCCTGTCTCTAAAAAAATAAATAAATAAAAAAGATAAGTCCAAGTTCAAGTCCCTAGTACCTGTGAATGTCACCTTACTTGGAAAGAGTATTTGCTGATCTAATTAAGGTAAGGGTCTCGAGATGAGAGTATCCTCATTAGAGTGGGCCCTAAATCCAGTGACATGGGTTCGGTGTCCAGTGATGTCTTTACAAGAGACAGGAAAGAATACGTACAACACAGGGGAGAAGGCCACAAGAAGACAGAAGCAGAGACTGGACTTACACTGTCACAAGCCAGGGAATACCAAGGATTGCCGATGGCCACTAGAGAAAGGAGAAAGGCATGGAATGATTCTCCCCCAGAGCCTTCAGAAAGAACCTACCTTACTAACCACTTTAATTTCAGACTTTGGGCCTCCAGAACTGTGAGACTCAATTTTTGTTAAGTCACCCAGGTGGTGGTTGGTTTTTTTTTTTTTGTCTTCGAGACAGAGTCTTGCTTTGTCACCCAGGCTGGAGTGCAGTGGCATGGTCTCGGCCCACTGCAACCTCTGCTTCCTGAGTTCAAGTGATTCTCCTGCCTCAGCCTCCCGGTTAGCTGGGATTACAGGCACACGCCTCCAAGCCTGGCTAATTTCTGTATTTCTAGTAGAGACAGGGTTTCACCATGTTGGCCAGGCTAGTCTTGAACTCCTGACCTCAAGTGATCTGCCCACCTCGGCCTCCCAAAGTGCTGGGCTTACAGGCATGAGTCCTGCACCCGGCCAGGCTGTGGTAATTTTTTATGGTAGCCCTAAGAATAAATACACAGATCCAAACTTTTCCCTTTTTGAGCAAGGGCTACCATGTACAACTTGACCTGAGAGTGCAGCCTTCAATCCTTTCCCCCGGGGCCTCTGGCAACAGTTCTCAGATGACTATGCTCAGAGAGACACCTGTGACTGTCCACCCAGCAGCCATCTGTTCACCAGCAGAGGAGACCGGAAGCCCCTTGTGAGGTGCTGGGTTCTGTAGCTTCAGGAGTGGGATCCATGTCATCATCCATATCAGATCTGTCTGCTCCAATCTCAACTCTTTCTTCCTGCCTGATCCAAAGGCTATTTTCTAGCTGTTCTTCAGCAATTTCTAGCTCTTCTTCTGTTTGTAAAGTAGCCACGGTTTCCCGGGGCAAGTTTGAGGAATATAGCCCAAATTTGGCTTTACAACCGAACATTGCCTCAAATGGACTTTGCTGCAAGGAAACGTCGAAAGCCTGATTCCTCACCATCTGCAGGAATCGGAGGCCTTTGGCCCAGTGACATGAGCGGTTACTCTGCATCCAGGTACCTATCATGTTCTTCACATCACGGTTTGCTCCTTCCAGGGAGCCCTGGCTTTGGCCAGGGTGGTACTTACCAGACACAATCTTTAGGTCTGGCCACAACTCATTGAGCTCCTGAACAACCTTGTTTGTGAACTCAACGCCACTGTCAGAGTCTAACACAGTGGGTGTACCAAGAATTGTGAAAATATCTAACAAGACACTGACCACCTCACGGGCCTGTTTGGTTCTTAATGGCCGTAAAATAATAAACTTGGTCAAGTGGTCCTGGTAGTATAAAATGAACTTGAACTCACCATCGGCACTTGACTGCATGTCAAGTATTTCAACTTGGCACGTGGAGTCTATGTCCTTAAAAGTCATGGGCTTGGGCGGAAGGCCTTTCTTGGGTACTGGGTTCTTCTGGTGGCACTGTTTACACAGAGTCAGATATAAGACAATAACTTCTTTGGTGACATTCCCATATTTTCCTTGCAGCTCCTTGAGCATGCGTGTCCGCCCACCATGTCCAATACTGAGATGTGTATCATGAAGAATATCAAACAACTCTTCTTTATGTACATAATACCGTATTCGATCACGTTCTCCATGAGTAGCCTCTATCAGTTTCTCTGTGCCCTGTACAGAGATCACGTCATATTTTGCCGCACGGCGATAATCACGTGATGACTTCTTCCCTTTTTCTTTAGCTTCTTTAACTTCCTTTATTGTTTGAAAGTACTTTTCTTTGGAAAATACCTTGCTGTTGTAACTTTTGCTTTCTACTAACTTTGTTACACTCATAAGAAACTTTTCTCTCATGTTACTTATCTCCATTTCCATTTCATTCACATTTGAAACACCACGTGGATCATTTCCAGCTTTCTGAGGCATCATGGAGAACTGTAAGACGGATGCTAAGAAAGGAAAAAAAGAGAACAAAGTTAAATTCACTGACACTCCCACCTGGAAGACTTCCCCTCTGGAGTTCCTCATCAATTCTTTCATATAATTTTTGAAGATGATTATATGGAAGAATGATAATAGAGTCATAGTAAAAAGCAATTAGAAAGCCAACTGGCACCATCCAAAACCACAGCATAGCAACAGAATTTGACATCAGTTAAATCACAAATCGGTAGAGGTTTTAGACTTTAGGCAAACAGAAAAAACAACGAAGCCATTAGCTTATAGCATGAAACCTAATCAACTGGTTTTCATTAACTGAACAGGAGAGAGGATAAACAGAAACTCCTAAGGCAGTAGGCTAAAATCTTACCCTCAGTACCCCTTAAAATAATATAAATGGGAGAACGTTGCTAAAAGGTACCACATAATAACAGCAAACTCTTAAACTGAAATTTGTACCAGGCATTGCTTCTGAGCCTTCCCATGATCAACAGAAACAATTTCTTGGCCAGGTGCAGTGGCTCACGCCTGTAATCCCAGCACTCTGGGAGGTCGAGGTGGGCAGATCACTTGAGGTCAGGAGTCCGAGACCAGCCTGGCCAACATGGTGAAACCCCATCCCTACTAAAAATACAAAAACTGGCCAGGTGCGGTGGTGGGCACCTGCAATCCCAGTTCCTCGGGAGGCTGAGGCGGGGAGAATGGCTTGAACCCGGAAGGCGGAGGTTGCAGTGAGCCGAGATTGTGCCACTGCACTCCAGCCTGGGCGACAAACGGAGACTGTTTCCAAAAAAAAAAAAAAGAAAAAAATGTTTATGGCAGAAGAGTCTGTCCTAATTTTGCGTGAATCAAGAAAAAGGTGTGGGAATATTTTTAAACGACGGTTTCCTCTTGACAGTTGTCCACAAGATTAATAAAGGAAGATTCTGAGTCCTTACCCTGTGGGACCGTGTTCTCATAACTGTCCAGCATTGTGTCTCTGTAGCAATCCTTTTGAGAGGTTTCTAAATAATTCCAATATTTGGTCATATCTTCAAATGCTGTTGCTTCCTGAGACAACACTGGCTGCTGCCACAGGGACCATACAGTCTTGGGGCCTGGGATAAGGAGCAGCCTCAGCAGGACTGCGGAAGAGACAAGACAGGGCATCAGGAATGAAGGCATGCAGCGTAGAGGACTCTGAAAGCGAGTCAGGTGAATAAATGGAAGAAATAAGAAATAGGTCTCATATCCAACAAGATGAGTACAGCTTCATGGGTGAGGGAAAGGAGTTTTGCTTTCCTGGGAGGTCTGTTGGTCTGGTCAGTTTTGACGCTGCCAGAGCTGTAGCCCGTGTATTAATATTTCCAGAATAAAGCAGAGTCCAAGTGAACTTGAGCACAGGCTTGATGACTCCTAACAGGGATGGCAGGATCTGTTTCCACTGGAAATATTATGTCTGTGTACATGGAGATATGTCAGGAGATTATCCTGCAGAAAACAGATACCCCAAAGGGAGTCTACATGCCACTGTGATCAGATAATTGCTTAAGGGGAGAACTTGATACTCAGTTGTCTAAACTGGGATTCCTTAGTTAGAACAGCCCTAAGACAGGATGGTGATGAGGCCAGGGGAGTTCATATGAGGACTGCAGGAATTCCAGCAAGCTTAGGAAAACAGGATCCCAAGATCCCAGCTGTCAGATGCAGAGCGGAGGGGCAGGGCAGAATCCTGAGAAGCAGACAAAGATGGAAACTTTTCAAAGTTCTGAGCAAGAGTCTCAGTTAAGTGGAACGTACTTCCAGGTCCTGAAGCTCCTCCACTAAAAGGGCTTCAAACTCCCTTCCTCAGCATTGCTGGTTAATCATGAATATTCCTGATTCTAAGACATTACTGACTGTAAAACCACTGACTTAATAACTTTCTTTTGAGAGGAAAAACAGTGTGTATTAAATGAATAAGACACATCCAAAATTTAAAATGTAAAAAAATGCATTTGCATTCTTTTTCTTTTTTTGTATTTTTTATAGAGATGGGGTTTTGCCATGTTGCAAAAAACCCAGGCTGGTCTTGAACTCCTGGGCTAAAGTGATTCACCTGCCTCAGCCTCCCAAAGTGCTAGGATTATAGGCCTGAGGCAGTGGGCCTGGCCAAAGCTATGCCTTGCAGAAATGAAGAAACTGCACATTTGCAAAATGCTCTTTACTCTAAGCCTGTGTTCAAGATCTTCTGCAAACTGACATTTTAAAGGCTCTGAGGCCGGGCACAGTGGCTCACACCTGTAATCCCAGCACTTTTGGGAGGCTGAGGCGGGCAAATCACCTGAGGTCAGGAGTTCGAGACTAGCCTGGCTAACATGGTGAAACCCTGTCTCTACTAAAAATACAAAAATTAGTCAGGCATGGTGGTGCATGCCTGTAGTCCTAGCTACTCAGGAAGCTGAGGCAGGAGAATCACTGGAACCCAGGAGGCAGAGGTTGCGGTGAGCCGAGATCGTGCCACTGCACTCCAGCCTGGGCGACAGAGTGAGAGTCTGTTTCAAAAAACAAAAAAAAAGGCTCTGAGAAGTCCTGCAATAAAGAAACCAGCTTCACTTTGTTTCATCCACCAGTACCATTCAATCATTGACACGGGACTTCGTTTCCCAAGGAATATCTATTACCATCCCACGGTCTTACTAGCTTTTTTTTAACACCGGGGTACACCACCACGCCTGGCTAATGTTTTGCATTTTTAGTAGAGATGAGGTTTTGCCATGTTGGCCAGGCTGGTCCTTGAACTTCTGGCCTCAAGTGATTTGCTTGTTTTGGCCTCCCAAAGTGTTGGAATTATAGGCATGTACAGCCAGCGCACCCGGCCGGTCCTACTAGTTCTAACAGTTCTTGAAACCACAAGGTATTCAATGGAGTCCAGAAAGAGCACCTTCCAGATTCCTTTCTGAAACCAGCATCTCTCACAACTTGAGTGCTGTGTTGGTTGCTGTCTGATTCCCTTCAGGGGACCGCAAAGAAAGGAAAAGTCTCATCTTCATTCTATAAAATAACGAAGGCAACTGGGCACAGTGGCTCATGCCTGTAATCCTAACACTTTGGGAGGCCAAGGTGAGAGGATTGCTTGAGGCCAGGAGTTCAAGACCAACCTAGTCAACATAGTGAGACCCTGTCTCTAAAAATAAAAAAATTTAAAAAAAAGAAAGAAGAACGGAGGCAACAGGCTAGAAACAATTTATAACCCAAAGACAGTCTTTAGTAAGAGATCCAGTCCTTACTATACCATGAAATTCTGCAGTAGAGTCCAAAGTCCACAATTATCTAATAGACCTATTTTGGTTGGTCCATCTAGTGATTTTTAAAAATTTGAATTTTTCGACCAGGTGTGGTGGCTCACACCTGTAATCCCAGCACTTTGGGAGGCTGAGGCGGATCACGAGGTCAGGAGATCGAGACCATCCTGGCTAACACGGTGAAATCCCATCTCTGCTAAAAATACAAAGTATTAGCTGGGCGTGGTGGCAGGAGCCTGTAGTCCCAGGAGGCTGAGGCAGGATAACGACGTGAACTCGAGAGGCGCACCTTGCGGTAAGCCGAGATCGTGCCAATGCACTCCAGCCTGGGCGGCAGAGCCAGACTCCATCTCAAAAAAAAAAAAAAAAAAAAAGGAATGTTTCACCTATACTTACAGATTGGGAGATTTCACATAAAAATTTCGATTTCTGCCTTATTTTTCTTTCCAGACAGAGTTTTGCTCTGTCGCCCAGGCTAGAGGGCAGTGGCTCGATCTCGGCTCACTGCAAGCTCTGCCTCCTGGGTTCAGGCCATTCTCCTGCCTCAGCCTCCAGAGTAGCTGGGACTACAGGCGCCCGCCACCATACCTGGTATAATTTTTTATATTTTTAGTAGAGATGAGGTTTCACCGTGTTAGCCAGGATGGTCTCGGTCTCCTCACCTCGTGATCCACCCGCCTCGGCCTCCTAAAGTGCTGGGATTACAGGCGTGGAGCCACTGCGCCCGGCCTCGATTTTTGGTTTCTTTGAAAAGCAATGTTCTGGCTGCACTGCGGCATTGCTGCCTGGCAATAACTGGCTGTAATAGGCAGCATCTTCCTTTGGATCAAGTTTGTCCAACCTGTGGCCTGTGGGTCGCATGCAGCCCAGGACGTCGGGACCTACTAACCTATTCATCTTGTCCACTCCTGCAGATTTCTAAGCTTTCAGTATCTTTTTTTTTTTTTTGAGAGGGGTCTCACTTCGTCACCCAGGCTGGAGTGCAGTGGCATGATCACGGCTCCC